TGTGTTTCTGTCTGTGTGTGTTTCTGTGTTTCTGTCTGTGTGTGTTTCTGTGTTTCTGTCTGTGTGTGTTTCTGTGTTTCTGTGTTTCTGTCTGTGTGTGTTTCTGTCTGTGTGTGTGTGTGTCTGTCTGTGTGTCTGTGTGTTTCTGTCTGTGTGTGTGTGTGTTTGTTTCTGTCTGTGTGTGTGTGTGTGTCTGTCTGTGTGTTTCTGTCTGTCCTCCAGAGCATGTAGAGCAGCGGCTCCTGCTCATATCCGGGGTCAGTATGTCCCACAGCAGCCTCACGCACACTGCAACTGTGTGTGTGTGTGTGTGTGTGTGTGTGAGAGAGTGTGTGTGTGAGAGTGTGTGTGTGTCTGTGTGTCTGTGTGTGTGAGAGTGTGTGTGTGTTTCTGTCTGTGTCTGTGTGTGTCTGTCTGTGTCTGTGTGTGAGTGTCTGTCTGTGTGTCTGTCTGTGTCTGTGTGTTTCTGTCTGTGTGTGTGTGTTTCTGTCTTTGTGTGTGTGTGTCTGTCTGTGTGTCTTTCTGTGTGTGTGTGTCTGTGTGTGTGTGTCTGTGTGTCTGTGTGTGTGAGAGTGTGTGTGTGTTTCTGTCTGTGTCTGTGTGTGTCTGTCTGTGTCTGTGTGTGAGTGTCTGTCTGTGTGTCTGTCTGTGTGTGTGTGTCTGTGTGTGTCTCTGTGTGTGTGTGTGTGTGTGTGAGAGAGTGTGTGTGTGAGAGTGTGTGTGTGTCTGTGTGTCTGTGTGTGTGAGAGTGTGTGTGTGTTTCTGTCTGTGTCTGTGTGTGTCTGTCTGTGTCTGTGTGTGAGTGTCTGTCTGTGTGTCTGTCTGTGTGTGTGTGTCTGTGTGTGTCTCTGTGTGTGTGTGTGTGTGTGTGAGAGAGTGTGTGTGTGAGAGTGTGTGTGTGTCTGTGTGTCTGTGTGTGTGAGAGTGTGTGTGTGTTTCTGTCTGTGTCTGTGTGTGTCTGTCTGTGTCTGTGTGTGAGTGTCTGTCTGTGTGTCTGTCTGTGTGTGTGTGTCTGTGTGTGTCTCTGTGTGTGTGTGTGTGTGTGTGAGAGAGTGTGTGTGTGAGAGTGTGTGTGTGTCTGTGTGTCTGTGTGTGTGAGAGTGTGTGTGTGTTTCTGTCTGTGTCTGTGTGTGTCTGTCTGTGTCTGTGTGTGAGTGTCTGTCTGTGTGTCTGTCTGTGTGTGTGTGTCTGTGTGTGTCTCTGTGTGTGTGTGTGTGTGTGTGAGAGAGTGTGTGTGTGAGAGTGTGTGTGTGTCTGTGTGTCTGTGTGTGTGAGAGTGTGTGTGTGTTTCTGTCTGTGTCTGTGTGTGTCTGTCTGTGTCTGTGTGTGAGTGTCTGTCTGTGTGTCTGTCTGTGTGTGTGTGTCTGTGTGTGTCTCTGTGTGTGTGTGTGTGTGTGTGAGAGAGTGTGTGTGTGAGAGTGTGTGTGTGTCTGTGTGTCTGTGTGTGTGAGAGTGTGTGTGTGTTTCTGTCTGTGTCTGTGTGTGTCTGTCTGTGTCTGTGTGTGAGTGTCTGTCTGTGTGTCTGTCTGTGTGTGTGTGTCTGTGTGTGTCTCTGTGTGTGTGTGTGTGTGTGTGAGAGAGTGTGTGTGTGAGAGTGTGTGTGTGTCTGTGTGTCTGTGTGTGTGAGAGTGTGTGTGTGTTTCTGTCTGTGTCTGTGTGTGTCTGTCTGTGTCTGTGTGTGAGTGTCTGTCTGTGTGTCTGTCTGTGTGTGTGTGTCTGTGTGTGTCTCTGTGTGTGTGTGTGTGTGTGTGAGAGAGTGTGTGTGTGAGAGTGTGTGTGTGTCTGTGTGTCTGTGTGTGTGAGAGTGTGTGTGTGTTTCTGTCTGTGTCTGTGTGTGTCTGTCTGTGTCTGTGTGTGAGTGTCTGTCTGTGTGTCTGTCTGTGTGTGTGTGTCTGTGTGTGTCTCTGTGTGTGTGTGTGTGTGTGTGAGAGAGTGTGTGTGTGAGAGTGTGTGTGTGTCTGTGTGTCTGTGTGTGTGAGAGTGTGTGTGTGTTTCTGTCTGTGTCTGTGTGTGTCTGTCTGTGTCTGTGTGTGAGTGTCTGTCTGTGTGTCTGTCTGTGTGTGTGTGTCTGTGTGTGTCTCTGTGTGTGTGTGTGTGTGTGTGAGAGAGTGTGTGTGTGAGAGTGTGTGTGTGTCTGTGTGTCTGTGTGTGTGAGAGTGTGTGTGTGTTTCTGTCTGTGTCTGTGTGTGTCTGTCTGTGTCTGTGTGTGAGTGTCTGTCTGTGTGTCTGTCTGTGTGTGTGTGTCTGTGTGTGTCTCTGTGTGTGTGTGTGTGTGTGTGAGAGAGTGTGTGTGTGAGAGTGTGTGTGTGTCTGTGTGTCTGTGTGTGTGAGAGTGTGTGTGTGTTTCTGTCTGTGTCTGTGTGTGTCTGTCTGTGTCTGTGTGTGAGTGTCTGTCTGTGTGTCTGTCTGTGTGTGTGTGTCTGTGTGTGTCTCTGTGTGTGTGTGTGTGTGTGTGAGAGAGTGTGTGTGTGAGAGTGTGTGTGTGTCTGTGTGTCTGTGTGTGTGAGAGTGTGTGTGTGTTTCTGTCTGTGTCTGTGTGTGTCTGTCTGTGTCTGTGTGTGAGTGTCTGTCTGTGTGTCTGTCTGTGTGTGTGTGTCTGTGTGTGTCTCTGTGTGTGTGTGTGTGTGTGTGAGAGAGTGTGTGTGTGAGAGTGTGTGTGTGTCTGTGTGTCTGTGTGTGTGAGAGTGTGTGTGTGTTTCTGTCTGTGTCTGTGTGTGTCTGTCTGTGTCTGTGTGTGAGTGTCTGTCTGTGTGTCTGTCTGTGTGTGTGTGTCTGTGTGTGTCTCTGTGTGTGTGTGTGTGTGTGTGAGAGAGTGTGTGTGTGAGAGTGTGTGTGTGTCTGTGTGTCTGTGTGTGTGAGAGTGTGTGTGTGTTTCTGTCTGTGTCTGTGTGTGTCTGTCTGTGTCTGTGTGTGAGTGTCTGTCTGTGTGTCTGTCTGTGTGTGTGTGTCTGTGTGTGTCTCTGTGTGTGTGTGTGTGTGTGTGAGAGAGTGTGTGTGTGAGAGTGTGTGTGTGTCTGTGTGTCTGTGTGTGTGAGAGTGTGTGTGTGTTTCTGTCTGTGTCTGTGTGTGTCTGTCTGTGTCTGTGTGTGAGTGTCTGTCTGTGTGTCTGTCTGTGTGTGTGTGTCTGTGTGTGTCTCTGTGTGTGTGTGTGTGTGTGTGAGAGAGAGTGTGTGTGTCTGTCTGTGTGTGTGTGAGAGAGCGAGTGTGTGTGTGTCTCTAGAAGACCGCAGCAGTTCTGAGCCTCTGTTGTCTAGGCAGGGGTCGAGGACACACTTGAATGATGCTGTCTGAAAGACCAACCCCTCGATATCACAGATTCCTGTCAGAGAATTAGATTTACAGTCTAAGCTGATTTATTGAAATGGTTGTATTTAGATGCAGTTATATGCAAAACAAGAACAAAGAAATATACAATGTTACAATAACAAACAGTATTAAAATAGGGTATATATTATCCCCTTATCGGTTTATTAATTGCTAGATATACATTTGCAATTGCAGAAAAACAAACAAAAACAAAACTATGGAATAAAGAAATAAAAAGGAAATTGAATTTTTATCTCATTTTATATTTTTACATTTACATTCATGACGTTTATATCTTACAATCTTAAATTTAGATCACAATTATGAGTTTATATCTTGCAATTTTTTAAAATTAAAATCTCACTATTTTGAATTCGTGTCTCACAGTTTTGAGTTATATCTCACAATTCTTAATTTTTTTTGTTGTTGTCAGAATTGCAAGAGAAGTTCATAATCGTCGTGAGATTAAAAAGTCGCAATGAGCTTTTTAATAGTTTTATTGTGTGTCAGAAACAGACTTGCGGTGTTTAGTGAGCGTGTGCGAGTGAAGCATGATGATAATTGCATGTCTGTGTGTCTGTGAGAGGCTGTGGAAGTGTTTCTCAGAGCTGTAGTGTACATGTGACGCACGGCTGCTGTTTGTTCATCTGCTGAGCTTCTGGGAGTTTAATGTCCCTCAAGAACTGAAGAACGCTCTTCATAATCCCAGCGAGCTGCTGACTTGCACTGGTTTTCTCCCGCAGCCGTCTGTATCTGTGTCTGTGTGTCTGTCAGATGGAGCAGCAGGCCAAGCCGTACATGTTTGCGAGCCTGACGCGCCCTCACTCCGAGCAGCTCCTGCAGGGTCTGCAGCTCCTGCGGCAGGATCACGAGCTCTGCGACATCGTGCTGCGGGTCGGAGACGCCAAGATCCACGCGCACAAAGTGGTGCTGGCCAGCATCAGCCCGTACTTCAAGGCCATGTTCACCGGAAACCTGTCCGAGAAAGAGACGTCCGAGGTGGAGTTCCAGTGCGTCGATGAAGCCTCTCTCAAGGTCAGAACACCGCCGCACAGCATGTACAGTAATCACTGATTCTCTAATCACAGCCCTTCTGCACCAACCCCTGCATGCTCAGATCATACTTTAGTGGGGATACGCACAATTCAGAAATAATACCTCAGGCTGCACGGCACGGATTGTACGACAGACTATTTAAATGAAGCAGTGTAGCTGTATGTTTGGTTGAATATAGCCTATTTTATTCTGATAATGAACAGGCTGCAACGTTTGCAGTGCTGCATGTGTGTGCGTGAGGCAGAAAGATAACATACTCCTATTATATATATATATGTATATATAACTGATTCAGCACAAACTTAACGAGTTAAGTGCTCTGTTTCCGTCTCTCGTCAGGCTATAGTGGAGTACGCCTACACCGGAACCGTCTTCATCTCACAGGAAACAGTGGAGACTCTACTTCCTGCCGCCAACCTGCTGCAGGTCAAGCTGGTTCTGAAGGAGTGCTGCAGCTTCCTGGAGAGTCAGCTGGACGCGGGGAACTGCATCGGCATCTCGCGCTTCGCCGAGACCTACGGCTGCCACGAGCTGTGTTTATCCGCCTCCAAATTCATCTGCCAGCACTTCGAGGAGGTGTGCCAGACGGAGGAGTTCCTGGAGCTGACGCGCGCCGAGCTGGACGAGATCGTGTCCAACGACTGCCTGAACGTGCTGACGGAGGAGAGCGTGTTCTACGCGCTGGAGTCCTGGATCAAGTACGATCTGACGGAGCGGCAGCAGTATCTGGCGCAGCTCCTGCACTGTGTGCGGCTACCGCTGCTGAGCGTCAAGTTCCTGACGCGGCTCTACGAGGCTAATCACCTGATCCGAGACGACCACGCCTGCAAACACCTGCTCAACGAGGCGCTCAAGTACCACTTCATGCCCGAGCACCGGCTCTCCTACCAGACGGTGCTGTCCACACGGCCGCGCTGCGCTCCTAAAGTCCTGCTGGCCGTCGGAGGAAAGGCCGGGCTCTTCGCCACGCTGGAGAGGTGATGATTATACTTCACTAACACTCAGAACATCTCCCAACTTTCACTATAAAATAAAGCTTAGCTGAAATATTAAATAAAATAAAAAACAGCATTTCTCATTTTCTTTTAGTTTAACTTCATGTGCTAATAAAATTACAAATGGATAAAAACTATATAGACAACAAAAACTAATAAAAATAACAAAAACACAACAAAATGACTGAAATGAACATGAAAGCAGGACATTTTGAAATAAAATGCAATGCAGAATATTAACAAAAGCTATTATGTTCTCTCAGTGATACTAAAATAGCACTGATTTGGGAGGAACAGTCTTATTGTTTGTTGTTTTTTTAATGCAATGTTTTGCTGTGCTTCTCTGTAGGATTGCACAGTTTGGACAAAAAAAGCTCTTATAAGTTAATATGGTATTATTGTTATATACAAATATTGAATAAAATAAGAAAATATTACTATTGTAATAACATTATTTCACTCACTATAATATAAAAAGAGTATTTAATAATAATAATAATTTGAAATTTAATAAAACTATTTTACAGAAAACTTATTTTCCCCCAAAAATGCTGGGTGAAAATTAATTATTATTTTAAGGTATTATTAATTTGCAATTATTTAAAAAAATACTTAAGTAATTCAATTAAACATTTTTTAAATTCTAATTAAAAAATTTATTTATTTTATATATATATGTATATATATATATATATATGTAATATATATTATAATATATTTTTATTATTAATTGGTAATTATTTGTAATTAATTACATTTACAAAATTATATACATTTTAAAAATTGCTTAATTGTTTTAATTTATAATATAAAAGATATTAATTTGTAATTACTTTAAAAAGTAAAAAATATTTTAAAATGTAATAGTTTTAAAAAGTGCGTAAGTGATTAAATAAAAAAATATATACATTAAATTGAAAGTTACTTGATTGTTTTATGTACTATTAATTTATAATTATTTGAAAAAGTACTTGAGTAAATAAAAAAAAAAGATAAATTAAATTTATTTATATATATATATATATATACTGTATATATATAAATAATAGTTAAACTAATGAATGATATCATGAGGTGGCTACAGATGTTGATTGATTAATGTTTTACTCTGCTGAGCTGATGTAGCTCGATGGAAGTGTGTGTGTGCTCTGTTCATGGTGTGTGTGTGTGTGTGTGTGTGTGTGTGTGTGTGTGTCAGTATGGAGATGTACTTCCCGCAGACGGACTCGTGGATCGGTCTGGCTCCGCTCAGCGTGCCGCGCTATGAGTTCGGCGTGGCGGTTCTGGAGCAGAAGGTGTATGTAGTGGGAGGCATCGCGACACACATGCGGCAGGGCATCAGCTACCGGCGGCACGAGAGCAGCGTGGAGCGCTGGGACCCCGACAGCAACACCTGGGCGTCTGTGGAGCGCATGGCCGAGTGCAGGAGCACGCTGGGTGTGGTGGTGCTAGCGGGCGAGCTGTACGCTCTCGGCGGATACGACGGACAGTACTACCTGCAGTCAGTGGAGAAGTACGGGCCCAAGCTCAAGGAGTGGCAGCCGGTGGCACCGATGACCAAATCACGCAGCTGCTTCGCCACCGCCGCGCTCGACGGCATGATCTACGCCATCGGAGGATACGGCCCCGCCCACATGAACAGGTACGACCCGCCGCAGCAGTGCATTCTGGGAGGAGGCAGCAGTGGGATTATCTTTATCTACAGCTGTTGCTCCTGATGAGACTCTGTCTTTATTACTCACTATTGCCTTACATGTTTATAGAAAGTTAATCTATTATTATATTTATTATGATATTTGACCCTGGAGCACAAAACTACAACTATTTGAAAATCTGGAATCTGAGGGAGCAAAAAAATCTAAATATTGAGAAAATCATCTTTAAAGTTGTTCAAATGAAGTTCTTAGCAATGCATATTACTAATCAAACATTAAGTTTTGATATATTTATGTAGTTAATTTACTTACTAATTTAATTAAGTACTTATAATTAAATAAAAACTGTATAAATTAAACATTACTTACCAGCAGTTAAAGTAATGAGCCTCTGTGAGGTGACGTGCTGATCGTAACTGGTGTCATAACTGCTATTATTATCATCATAACTATTAGAAACGTGTGTGAATTGAAATCGTTTGTTAAAT